TAAAATTAATTAACTCAAGGGTATTTGCCCTTCCCTCATTGACTAATATTTTTTTAGAAGGTAATTTTTAGTAAAATTTTAAATTTTAATATAAATAATTTTTTTAATAAAAACATATAAATAATGTACTTTCAACTAAATTAAAAATAAATTAAAATTAACCAATATTCACATAGAATCACAAATGACACTTTAACCACTTAAATAAAAAATTTATATTAATGGAATTAAAAGTAGTGGGCTAAAACTTTGTGGCTGTATATTAATATCTGATGACTGATGTACCACACCCACCAGCTGGTTTTCCCTCGTCTCTAAGTTAACACATTCTAGAATATTCAAAGGAAAAAAAAATTAATTAATTAAATTTTGAGTATTTGTTCTATGTGGTTGGTATGCAATTACAGTATTATGTCTCAAAATCAAAACAATAAATGAACATAATAATAACAATAATAATAATAAAACCCAAAGAAAGAGAGATGATTGGAAAGGAGGATGTAAAAGGATGAGGATATTAAAGATGGACAAATATCAAGGCATAATAAAGATTGGCACAAGATGCTTATGACCTATTTTCCAAATAACATACACATATATATGCAGAGACACACAATATGAGATGTACAAAACAATTTTGCACAAATCCATAATCAAATTTTCATGACCTCAAAATCTCCCATTACAAATCTATTTCAATTAAATGATAAGGGGACCCCCACAACCCATAAATGAGAGAAGAGATGAAGGCTTACCTACTTCCCAACTTACCTTACCTTACCTAACCTCATCATCCAGACAGAGGGAGAGATTGTGTGATTAGATGAGTGTCTTGACATTTTCTGTGTTCTGCTGTGTGTCCTGAAACCATAATCCCTGTCCATTTAAGAATGATAACTGCACTTCTCAACCATTCTGATTCTAATTTTGATGCATATCAGCTCCATTTCATTTCATGCAAGTATCTAAACCTATATCATCTCTAACAGTCTTTTAGAAAGTTCTTTCATATGAAAAGATATATAGATACTTCAGCGCATAAAGTTGCATGATACTGAAGAATAAGGAGAGCTAAAACATGTACTTTTTGTTAGATGCATCACCATACAGGAAGTTTATTTGGAAACAACTAAAAGATGAATGTCCTAATAGGGTTCAGAATAAAGGATAACTCTTTTCTTCTGAATTTAAGGAGCATTGATGCTTGAGCAGAAAATAATCTGTCTAAAAACTACACTGAATATATCACAATCTCCAATCTAAACAGAAAAACATTTGGATTGGGAAATTAGGACTCTTTGGCATGATTCGATGACCCTACATCCAGGTGCAGTGTGACAGGCACATTTATGAAAAGAGCCTAATGGCATGAGTGCAACAACTGGAAGAAGAATTAGTAAAACCCGAGGCAAAATAAAAGGTGACTCAGGATCTCTTTCCAGCCTGAAAGCGAGAAAACAGTAATACAGTAACTTCCAGATGCAAAAGGGAGAACTACATTACCATGCTTCCTGAAATCCATCCCTTTGAGGGAGGAAATTAGAGAAAGAAACACCTACTTCTCTGATACTCCAAGATCTGCCGCCAGCTAACAGGAGAAAAGATGACCTACACTTAAGTAATCCTACAAACAAGCTCCCACAAAATGAAAAAATCACACCAGCTTTTTCATACAACCAAGACACACATGCAATGCAGGACAACCTTTTTGAAGTGCAAGTAATTTAAACTAACAAGGAAGCAATTTTGTGGTAGAACAATTCGAATATCAGCATATAAACTCAAGTAGACTGCCCTTTCTTGGTTAGTGAAAGGCAATTTCCTTGCATCATTGCAGGAAAGCACATAATTAAGCTCCTACGTAACTTAAACCAAGCTCATAGCAAATCTAAGGCTAAGAAGGGCAAAAGAGATCAATAACTATTATAGAAAATATTGTAAATAACTAAGCCCATATCCTATATTAAATGGAAATCCTGGAGTCCTGAATTAAATGAGTTGGCTTGTCATTTTAGGATTTGATTAAACAAGCAAACATGATAATGTGTCAAGACAAAAAGGCTTGCTCACAAGAACTTTAAGGTGCCCCCTTAGAAGTGAAGTAGACGGAACAAAGATGTTAGAACTCACCTTATAACTGACTAATGATGTGACTTAAACCACCTAATAAGTTTGCCAAGCAATTTTAAGATAATAGAGAAAGTAAAAGACAAGATATTCATGCTACTAGATATTCAAATATTTAGGAACATGTATTTGAACCAGACCTTACCATGTCCCCTTCCAAGCTAGAACTGTATTTTAATTTCTCTGAAAATAAATTCAAAAAAAGTTCATCCATAAATTTCTAGAAATCAGAAGATTAAGAAATGGGTACAACTAAAATTCACCCGTTAGCAACAATCTAAAATTCTGAAAATGAGAA